AGAATGCCGCTGCCACTTCAGCTCTGTGTTGAATAATACTTTCAATGACTCTGTGCTCACGCTTCTGAGGTCTGGGTGCACATTACCTTAGGGAGTTCCAAAGCTAGAACCTGTGGCCTGATGCTGACTGAGGAACCTGGCCTGTGGCGATGAAACGGAAACGGCTCTACCCTTGCCTCTTGGACACACAGGCAGCAGATAATGAGCAGTTGGCCCGTTATCTGGCCCTCAACCCCTATGTGATATACCTGGCAGGGATGGGGAGGGAGTGAATGAGCACAGGCTTTCGACCATGCTGTGGGCATTGATGAGGGCCCAGCAGCAGCCTAGCCAATGGACCGCCCCACAGAGAAGGGCGCTGCAGGAGGCTCCTTCCAAAATGGGCCACTTTCCAGCCCCGGGGGGCCGCTACCTCTGCCTGAGGAAGTCCAGAAAGGAAAGGCCACTGGAGCACAGTGGTACCCAGTATCCCGGCCAGTGACCTCTGGGGCCTCCACATTTGCACTTAAAAGCCATTATGGAAATGCCATTCACTTTGAAGGCAGGGTTCTATTCAAAGCAGACTGGCCTCATGCAAAGTGACAGTGACCACAGCCCAGTAAGGACCCTCCCAGGGAGGCAGAGGGGACCAGAGGTGAGGGAAGCCCCGCTTTGCTGCCTGGGAAAATCTTTGAAGTGTATGGAGGCCTCACCTAATCAAACCCACTTTTGGTGGTTTGAAGCATTGCATTAAATTGAGGCGTAGCTGCTTTTCAGGTAGAGTTGACTTGGTTTGAGGGAGTTTCAGGGACTGAACTTAATAGTTTCAATTTTCAACTTAACTAAAAGGCATACAGATGGGAACCATGTTTTCTGCATCCAAACTGGGTTTAGCACTGGACTGTCCCCTAAAACATAGGGCATATTATCAGGGTCTGCAGAAGGCTGGGGGTCTATTAGGAAGGTTCAACACAACTCACAGGAAAAGTAGATGTTTTTTAGTTGGGTGGTGACTTTTCCAGTCTTCCTTAAAGCAATTCAACTCTTTTTTTAGGGGTCTGCCAGCAACATTGAGGCGAGAGGCACCAGGAGAGAGAGCATATGATATGAAATATGAAATTTCATGATCTTCAAGCATCACCTGGATATAAAATGAATTAGGTGGTTGGTCATTTTCTCCCAAAACAGGGTGCCCATGACTTTGGGTTTTGGAAGGTAAAGTAATTAATTGGAAGTTCCGGCAGCTATCTGGTACTTGGGCCAAAATTCTTAGAGTAAGGGGCCCTGTCAGATGAGCAAGCTGACCCTCATTCTGGATGTGGGGAAACACGTCTCCTTTGCCTGTAGCGCTTATCCATTCAAACCAGCATTTCCCTGGGAGTGCCGAGAGCAGCGCAGCTGGGCAGCACAGCTGGGCTCCTGAGGCGGGTCGGGCAGGACTCGATCTCTTTGGTACACAAGGGAGGCCCTCAGTTTCCCATTTCACCGCCTGAAAAATCACTGCCTACCCCACCTCCCTGGGTGGTGAGCCGGCTGGGATGATGATAAAATGATATAGCTCTAGATCATCTAAATTGGAATAATTAAAAAGGACTCTCTTCTTTACGTGCCAGTGGATTCGAAATGACAGAGGCTGGAAAATGAAAAGAAGTTTATGGGAATAATGCCCAGTCCTTCTCTCCACGCAGCCTTGGTCTCCAAGAGCCAGTGTTCCACTCATGGATAGTAACCTATCTTCCCTCCCTTAAATTCCCTTTACTGTCACTGTTGGCACCTCCGACATTAAGTGGGTCAAGGGAAGGAGAAGGTTAAAAAACTGGCACCTGCAAACTTTGCATTCTTTTAAGGGCCCAGTGGGAGAGGCTAAAGCAAATGTCTATAATAAATTTAAAAATAAGCATGGACGTAAGTTAACCAGCATATGCACTGTCCAGATGCTGCAGGTAAAAATGGCAGCACCACGGGCTCCTGTTCGGGGTGGTTTGGATTGTAGTCTCATTGGCTCGACCGGCTACATGTCCTAGGAAGACATTTCAGAATGGATACAGCCCATCCCCCAGGGCAAGTGACAGCAAACCATATTTTTTTTCTAATGAAGATCACAAACTATAGGAAAACACGCTCAAAGGCTACAGAGAACTAAATACAAAGTTACTTCCCCCAGAAAATTAAAATAACTCCATATACCTGGTTTATAAGTTAGGAAATGCAAAATAAGAAATCACTAAAGATAAGAAGTTCTCAATCTTAAAAAAAAGAAAAAAGAAAAGAAGTTCTCAATCTATAACTAGTTTAGGACTTAGGAGGCTGGTAAGAAAAGAAAGTACCAAAAGTCATTTGTTATAATGGAGAACCAGGGCACCCCCGGGGCAGTTAGGAGCCTATGGGGAAGTGACTCATCCCAAGGCAACAGCAGCAGAAACCAGAGCCAGAGCTCAGGACTGTACACTCCCATGTTACCTCTCAGGAAGTGGCCTTGGAAGGCTGAGAAAGGTGAGAAAGGTCTCAACCCACTACAGAAGATGCTAGAGGAGGAGATACAGATGGGAGGTGAAGAAAGAGATGAAAACTTGGGGGCATAGGGGAGCACCGACAGAGAATGAACGAACGCATATTAACTCATTCATTCAAAGCAGTAGCCTTTCAAGTATATTAACTCAAAACAGAATAATCCTAGGGAGCTACTGTTACCCTTTCAATTGTTCAACGGCTCTAGGTCTTAAATCTTGGAAGAGTGAGCTCTTAACGGCTGAAATGGGGGAGAGGGAATTATCCTGTGGGTTTCTGGCAAAAGCAATTATACCTGTGGGCTGAAAGATATCAAGCTAAGAACCACAGGTTCCCAACTCCTAAGGCAGACATGATGAGGACATCTGGCCGCTTGTTCAGTTCTAAGCAAAATACTGCGTACAGCTGCTGTAGAGGCGTCTCATTGGTAGACCAGCAAGCCGCAGCATTTGGCTGTTAGCAGTCCACATCTGCTACTAATAAGGATTAGTTAGTAATTTTCTAAACCATCACGTTGGTAAGTTTTCTGTAACAAGTTATTAGCTTTTCAAAGAGAGGACTTTGTGCTGGTTCCACCCAGCTTTCTTCTCTTTCACCAGACATTTGTTTAGTGTGATAACATCTGATCAGCTTTCAAGTAACTTGACTTCTTGGCTTCATGAGCTATCCTACAGTTCAAGGTGTGTTCTCCTTAATGGAGAAACTGTTTGGAATGTATAACTCCCCTGCGACTCAAAAGCACAACATTCTCCGCAAGCAGTTGTTCCGAAGTTAACAGTAACCTGGACAGAGTTGTCAGGCCATCAACAGCAAGCTGCCTGAAGGTGTAGAAAAAGGCATCGTCTCACCCTTTTATTTCCTCCCGAGTGTGCTCTTTCTCCCTTGCACCCATCCTGTTTATCAGGATGATACATTAACCACCCGTGGTGGGAGGGAGCTGTCCTGACCAACCACCTTCCATTCTCATGGATTTCACCAGCTTTAATGCCTGGCTCTTCAGTCCTGTATTTCTCTGCCAGTGACAAGACTGGCAGCCTGAGATGCGCCAACTTCTTCGCTCTAAATTGCAAAACAAAGCAGGGAATCTGTGAGTTAGCTGATTTGCAAGTCACCTTGTAAACACTTGTTTCTGTGTACCTATTCTCTCCCCCAGGTAGTTACCTGGCTGCCATCCTGACAGGGCCTGATGTGCTGCCCCTCCAGCAACCAATGCTCCTTCCTTCACTCTTAAACAAATCAGCTTATTTTGTACCATAAAAAACACACAACTCAAAACAAAAGCTTTCATTGAGCAGGAACCACAGAGCCTCGGGGTAATTACGGCGGGAGAGTCGATAGTCACTCAGAATCAGCATCAGGTCCACAGGTGTGTCTACAAGCGTCCACGAGATGCCTTCAAATGGAGCCAACTCAGAATTTAGATAAAAGGGGCCACACTTCCGTCTCTAGAGGTTTGCTGAAATGTTCCCAACATAAGACCATCTCGAAGTAAAAGGTATCTAGGCCTGTGGATATTCTTCCCACATCACCAACTCCAAACACCAGTTTACTGAATAATCACACAAACCAACATGTACTGGACCCAACCGAATGTATGTCTACACAGATTCTTCCACCCCCAACCCCAGCAGCTGAGAAATCAGGGGCTCAGGATGGTGAGGGGTTTGATTACGTCCCATGGGGGAGGGGGCGGGGTCACAATCTGAGCACAGATGCACCTACTCGAGAGCCTGTATTCGTAATTATTTTGCTAAAGTACTTCTCTCTGTAACAGAAATTCTACACAACAGAAGATATTTAGACGACATCACGGAGCCTTGGCATTTTCTCCTTCATCTATTCCTGGAAAGACCTTTCCATTTAGCTTCAGTGTGAATACTAATTTCCAACTTATCAAAATCCAGGCTTGAAGTACCAATCCTCTGGTAAAAAAGGGAGACATAATTAGAAAGCTTTAATGAAACTGGGAAGAGGGAAAACACTCAAGGTTGGTTGACGTTTTAAAAATAACATTTTCATAGATCGCAGGGTCGGAAGTTTGTAACCAAGGTTAGCTAAGCTCGTTCTCACCACAGGCAGGATGGCTTAGGTCATCCCAGAGGGAGGAAGGTCCATGCAGGTTGTAAAGCTCTTACTGCATCCTACCTACCTACCTACCTGCCTACCTACCTACGTTTGTAACCAAGGTTAGCTAAGCTCGTTCTCACCACAGGCAGGATGGCTTAGGTCATCCCAGAGGGAGGAAGGTCCATGCAGGTTGTAAAGCTCTTACTGCATCCTACCTACCTACCTACCTGCCTACCTACCTACCTGCCTGCCTACCTACCTACCTACCTACCTGCCTACCACGAGGCAAGTCCAGAGGAGCGCTTGCGTGGCTGAGGCTCTGCAGCTTTTGGGAGAAAGGTACAGCACACACGGAAACTAGTAACAATATAAATCAACTCAGTTCCCATAAGCATAACCATCCAACCCCTGGAAAGAAGCACACGAGGCCCGGGCTGCAATGCCAGTCTTCATCAGAAAATAAATTTATTATTGATAGTGAGTGAAGTCAGGTGTCAGTATTCACGATAGAGAAGCAGTTGTATAAGCCAAGGTTGCCTTTATGTTGACAAAAAATGCCTTATTTCACTTGTAATCATAAACATTATTCCAGTAAAAGAGGGACATTTTCTCTCCTTTTTGTCTTCTTTACATGATCGTCATAAGTTAAAATGAAACAGCTCTTATAGTCAAGGGAGAAAGGAAGCAGAAGCCCAACATGCACAGTCTGGATACTACGCCAGCACCGAGGGCCTGGATGGAGGTATCCTGCCCTCTCCTCCCCACTCCCATCTCCTCATCCCTGGTCCCAACTGCAAGCTTTGCCGGAGTGGAGGTTCACCAAGTGATGGAGCTTGGTCAGAAGAGAAAGTTGGACAGAAATTATGAAAGGTAGAAAGGGTTGCCCACTCGTTGTCATCACAGCCGGCGTTACTAACACTGTGGCGTGTCCTTTGCGGCTGATCCCTGATCTAGCTAGGCCTCGGCTTTCCGTTCTTGTTGAATAACTGTGATGCACTTCTGTTCACTCTGCTCCCAGTGCTTCTCTTCATCGGCTTTTCTCTAAACAGGTTACTTTCTTACAAGGAAAAAATATGTCCCACCGCCTCTGGAATCAACGTTGACGGAGTTTTGCTTGTTCTGAAAGTGGCTTTTATCCTCCCTTCTCAATCATGCTCTGCAAGAGAAAGAGAAAGTGTAAGTTTTACCCCCAGAAGGAGGGACCAGAAAACGGCAGCAAGGACTTAGTATCATTTGTACTGTTTTCCAAAGATCGACTTCAAAAACACACAAAGCAAGGCATACACCTCCTGGTCTCAAAATATCACTGCCTTTATTATTTTTTTAATATATTTTATTGATTTTAGAGAGGAAGGGAGAGGGAGAGAAAGATAGAAACATCAATGATGAGAGAGAATCACTGATTGGCTGCCTCCTGCACGGCCCCTACCGGGGATCGAGCCTGCAACCCAGGCATGTGCCCTTGGCCGGAATCGAACCCGGGACCCTTCAGTCCGCAGGCTGACGCTCTATCCATTGAGCCAAACCAGCTAGGGAAAAATATCACTGCCTTTAATGGACACCATCGCTTAACCGTGTACAATCTCCAAATGACCGCTCCCCGCCCACATCCAGCTGAACCCTGAGGGGGGCAACGGCCTGGACCATGAGGTGGGCGGGGCAGTGCATGTGCCATCTCACTGCCTCAGCCATTTGAAATGTATGGAAGTATCTCTGGTGGCCACAGGGACTGGGGGAAGATGTGGGGGGTGGGGAGGGAGGTGTAGGGGGCAGAGATTAAACCCCAAGGGCTCTGAGAGGAAATCTCAGCTGAAGACGGGATTCTCTCCCCGACAGAGAACGTCTGCCCACTGCAGGCAGGACGCACATGCTCCTGAGCTTGTGATGCTGGGCAAAGTTACCCAGGTATCTGTTCCCAAAATGTTGCAGAAACATCCCCTGCCATCTATTTAGCCACTTATTTTTGCAGGTGAGGAGTCGCTGACGTACATCACTGCATAAGGTTTAAGGTGCACAGCACATTGGTTTGATTTATATACTCTGTGAAATGATCACCACAACAGGTTTAGCTAACATCCATCATCTCACAGATACAAAAGGAAAACAACAAAAAAAGTCTCCTTGTGATGAGAACTCTCTCAACAGCTTTCCCGAATACAGCAGTGTTAGCTCTCCTGTCCATGTTGTACGTTACGTCACTGGAAGTCTGGACCTTTTGACCACCTTTCTCCAGTCCCTGCCTATGGTAACCACATATCTGATCTCCTTTTCTATGAGTTTGGTCTGTTTTGTTTAAATTCTACATATGAGTGATATGGTATTTGTATTTCTCTGACTTATTTCACTTAGCCTAATGCCTTCAAGGTCCATCCTTGTTGTCACAAATGGTAGGGTTTCCTAGGTGTGTGTTTTTATGGCTAAATATTATGCTATTGTGTATTATCACAACTTCTCTATCCATTCTTCCATCAATGAACACCGAGGTTGTGGCCATGCCGTGGGCCACTGTGAATGATGCAGCTATGAGCATGGAAGAGCAGACATCTTTTCGAGTTAAGCGTTTTCATTTTCTTTGGATATATACCTAGAAGTGAAATTGCTGGATCATATGGTAGTTCTATTTTTAATTTTTTGAGGAATCTTCATACTGTTTTTCATAATGGCTGAGCCAATTTACATTCCCACCAACAGTGCACAAGGGTTTCCTCTTCATCACATATTTGTCAGCATTTGTTGTAATTCCCTATTGACTAGCAATGTTGAGCATCTTTTCATATACCTGTTAACCATTCATATATCTTTTTTAGAAAACTGTCTGTACAGGTCTTTTGCCCATTTATTAGATGATTTTTTTATTTTTTGCTTTTGAGTAGTATGAGTTCTTTATTTACTTTGAATATTAACTACTTATCAGATATATGGTTTGCAAACAGTTTTCCCCATTTCATATGCTGTTTTTTTAATTTTCTTGATGGTCTCTTTTGCTGTACAGCTTTTCAGATTGATGTAGTCCCACTTAATGTGTTTTTTTATTGTGTTGTTTGTGTTTTAGGTGTGATTCCCAAAAAATCATTACCAACACCCACGTCAAGGACCTTTCCCCCTATGCTTTCTTCTAGGAGTTTCATGCTTTAAGGTCTTACATTTGATTCTTTAATCCACTTCAGTTAATTTTTTAAGTAGTGTAAGAGAGGAGTCAAGTTTCATTCTTTTACCTGTAAATATCCAATTTCCCCAGCACCATTTATTGAAGAGACTGTCTTTTCTCTATTGAGCATTCTTGGGCCCCTTGTCAAATATTGGTTGACCATGCTGGGTTTATTTCTGGGCTCTCAATTCCGTTCCACTGGTCTACTTCTCTGTTTTTATGCCAGTACCACACTGTTTGATTACTGTAACTTTGTGGTAGAGCTTGAAATCAGACAGTGTAATTCTTCTACCTTATTCTTCTTTCTCAGGATTGCTTGGACTATTGGGAGTCTTTTGTGGTTCTTCGCAAATTTTAGGATTTTTTTTTTTATTATTTCTGTAAAAAAATATACCATTGGAATTCTGATAGGGATTGCACTGAATCTACAGACAGCTTTTGGAAGTATTGGCATTTTAACAAATTTAATTCTCCCAACCCATGAACATAAGACAGCTTTTCATTTATTTGTGTCTTCTTTGGTTTCCTTCATCAATGTCTTGTAATTTTCAGAGTAGAGATCTTTCACGTCATTGGTGAAAATAAATTTATTCCTAAGTATTTTATGATTTTTTTATTTGTTTATTCATTTTTATTTTTTAAATATTTTTTAAATATTTTTATTGATTTCAGGGAGGAAGGGAGAGGGAGAAAGAGATAGAAACATCAATGAGGAGAGAGAATCACTGATTGGCTGCCTCCTGCATGCCCCACACTGGGGATCAAGCTGCAACCTGGGCATGTGTTCTGACTGGGAAGCGAACCGTGACCTCCTGGTTCATAGGTCGATGCTCAATCACTGAGCCATGCCGGCCGGGTAGTATTTTATTTTTTGATACTATTATAAATGTGACCAATCTCTTCCCCGCCCCCCAGAATATTCATTGTTAATATGTAGAAAACATTACTGATTTTTGTGTGTTAATTTTGTATCCTGCATCTTTACTGAATTTAGCTCTAATATGTTTTTATGGCTCTTTAGAATTTTCTATATATAAATCCTAGCCAGGAAGAATTCTTAATCACAGATTAAAACTCTATAACCAGATGTAGCCAGGTATACAGCCTCTATTCTTAAGAATCTTAAAAAAAGGCAAGAGTGATCTTTTTCCTTTTAGTTTTGAAATTACTCAGTAAGAAGAAGTTAGGTCAGGTCCAAGGTTGCCTCTAATCTGTTCATGCCTTCTTCCCGCATCTCTTCTATCCAGCCCTTCACAAAGCTCCTACCAGGTACCCACTGCACTGACTTAGGTGCTATGGGGAAACCAATATACATGCTCATGGAAAACTAAGGTGTGACACAGAGTAATTACTTGTGATTTTTAGACATATTTGCTAAATATGTGCTAAAATTATTTCACTGAATAATACACACAAACAGTATAAAATTCAAGAAGAACAAAAGAATATACAATCAAATGCAATTTTTCCCTTCCTGTTTCCTCGTTTCCTGAGTATGCTTCCAGGAAAGTGGTTCTGCCAAGGAGAGGCCAGCTCTGTAGCTGAGCAATCAGAAGAGGCAACTCAATGATCCTGCAGGACGGACAGAATATAGATAAAAGGAAGAGGCGTAGGGCTGGGACAGGCCAGGCTGGGAGGCAGTGCAAAGACTCAGAGGTGGGAACAAGCCCGTATATACGGAGGCCGGAGGAAAGAAACAGGCCTGGCTAGAGGAAAGGGTAGGTGCTCAGGATATACCAGAGAAGTAAGAGGGGCCCAGAGTGAAGGCTATCCTGACACCCTGAGCATAATGAAGCCAACAGAGGAGAGTCTGGAGGAAGAAAGACCAGGGAGGAGGCAGATTAGAAACCAAGCAAGGGTGGGGATGAGAGAGAGAGCCATAAAAACACGAGAACAAAAAGAGACGGTGAGACCTAAGTTGTGGTGGATCCTCAGTGGCAGGGAGATTGGATCCTCAGAGAAACCGGGAAATCAGTGAGAGGAGACACACTGGAAATGAGGAAGATGACTTAAGTTTGGGGCTTGTGAATCTGGAATGACCTTATGGAAATGTCTAGAACAGTGGTAGGCAAACTGCGGCTAGCGAGCCACATGCGGCTCTTTGGCCCCTTGAGTGTGGCCACGAAGTTTCAATTGCATTGTACGTGCGCGCCCGCACGTGGTATTTTGTGGAAGAGAACAATCTTGAAAGGATCAAGTATCCTCAAGGAATTTAACTGCCACTTAAAGAAAACTCAACACTCTTTAAAAGAAGAGAATAGCCCAGCTCAGCGGTTCTCAACCTGTGGGTCGCGACCCCTTTAAGGGTCGAATGACCCTTTCACGGGGGTCGCCTAAGACCATCGGAAAACACATATATAATTACATATTGTTTTTGTGATTAATCACTATGCTTTAATTATGTTCAATTTGTAACAATGAAATTGGGGGTCACCACAACATGAGGAACTGTATTAAAGGGTCGCGGCATTAGGAAGGTTGAGAACCACTGGTCTAGAAGGAAGTGCAGGCTTGGGAAAAGAGGTCAAAGGTCTTTAGAGATGAAGATTTAAGGTCAAGAAAAAAAGACTAAAATAAAGGGGCAGAACAGAAAGAGTGGAAGGACAAATAAGTGTGTGGGTCACAAAAGTACTGGATGGCTCACCCTGAATCTCAATGATCATAGGTTTCTAAGAAGTCCATGCCCACGGGGTACAAAAGAACAGATATAAAAGCAGGCAAGCTAGTGTGGAGAGAACTCACATAGGAATGGTCAGGAAAGGCAATGAGGGGAGAAGATTTAAGGTCAAGAAAAAAAGACTAAAATAAAGGGGCAGAACAGAAAGAGTGGAAGGACAAATAAGTGTGTGGGTCACAAAAGTACTGGATGGCTCACCCTGAATCTCAATGATCATAGGTTTCTAAGAAGTCCATGCCCACGGGGTACAAAAGAAGAACAGATATAAAAGCAGGCAAGCTAGCGTGGAGAGAACTCACATAGGATGGTCAGGAAAGGCAATGAGGGGGAG